TGGAGACCAGCTGGGTGTCCTACAGTGCAATTGGGTTCTGACACTGCCCGGCTAAGGTCTCCCTCCCCCAAGTCTGTCCCCAGTTTAGATGCCAACTGCAAGTAGCAGATCCCTGAGTCACCCACACCTCTGTCTTGCTTGGCTTTAAATCAGGGGTCCCCAGAGGCCCCTCTTCAGGTTCCATACCTTGCCATGTCAGCTCAAAGCACACAAGGAAACACTACTTAAATTTACTTTATTGTAAAGAATATTGTGTTAGTTAGCTCTCCATCACTGTGACAGAATACCTGAGGTAATCATCTTAGAAAGAGGGAAGATTTTCTGTCTCACGGCTTCGGTGTTTCCAGGCTGGGATCAGTCGCTCCTGCTGCTTTCGGGGCTGCGGAGTTGCCACACATCAAGGTGGGGGACAAAGAACGAAGCATCCGCTCACCTCGTGGGGTCCTGGAAGCAAAGAAGGGCCGGGGGTCCCCGTGTCCCCCGCAAGGACAGGCCCCAGGTGACCCGAAGGCTCCCAACTAGGCCAAACTGTCTTCAAGGTTCCACTTTCCCTGTCCAGGAGCCTGGGGTGGGGACCCAGCCTCCCACAGTGGCTCTGGAGGACGTTGGGACGTGAAGCACGGCAGACCCAAATGGGCAGCAGAGGAGAAGGGTCAGAGGACAGGGCCAGCGCTCCCAGGACGGCTTCCACTGCAGCACCCTCCTGGTGTGTGGGTGTTCACCAATTTAGCCGCACTTGAAGTTCTGGATTTGGGGTTTTGCGGAGCCTTTTCCCCTCCCAGAGGTCTGGCTGGGGCCCAAAGTTCCTACTCTCTAATCTAACCTCGGCCTCTCAGGAAAAACGACACCTGCAACTCCATATCCAGGCGTCCTGGAAGCGGGGAGCTGAGAACTAGGACCGAACATCCTGCGGGAGGTGCTGGTCGCCCTCAGGCAGCGGACTGCCAGGCTCACAGGACCACAGACGGAGAATGTCTCAGCCCAGCATCAGGCACCCCCGGAAGGGGCTCCCGGTGCCCCGGCTCTGTGCCCGCTGGAATGGGGAGCAGGAGGCCTCACTTCCCCTTTCCCCACCTGGAGTTAAGAGCTGAGGGAGTCAGGAGGGAGAGGGAGCTCCTCTCCTCGGGGCCGCCTCAGAAGTCACCGCCCAGCTCATGCTGCTCACTCGGCTGAGGTGCAAAGTGGCCCTAACCTGCCCTGCAGGGTCACCGGGGCCGTTCCTCCAAGTGGCAGCCCCGCACGGGCTCCTTCCCTGGGTAAGGCCTTCGCTTTGCGTCTTGTAAATATTACACGTTTGTCGTAATATGTGGAAAGCAGATAAGCAACAAGAAACAAAACGCTTTAACACGAAAAGTCCCCAAGCATCTGCCCTAGTCACTGCTGACGACGTCAGGCACCGTGACCTTTGCCAGCTGCCTCCTGGATCCCGCAGCTCGGAGCCCCTGAGCGGGGGAGCGGAAGCGGAGGGGTGGAGATGACCGTCCCAGGCACTCTCTCCCGGGGGCTCACACCCAGCGCCCACGCACCGGAGGAGGGAGTTACTTCGGCGCCGGCTTTAGGCCCGCTCGGCGGCTCCGAGGCCGAGGCTGCTCGGTGGAGGCCGGAAGCGGAGGAGGGAGCTGCAGCGAGGCGCGCCCACCCTTCCCTCCTGTCCCCGGAGCCTCCTGGGCGCCTTCCGCTGCGCCCGGCATTCGGTCACCATCCTCGGCGCGCTGCGGCCTGGGGCATCCGGAGGGACTGAGACCGCAGGCCGCAGCGCAGGGCTCCCCGGCAGGGTCTCGCGACATCCGGGCTCTCGGGGAGCAGGCGCGGTACCGGACCCCTCAGCCGGCCAGCGCGGGCTCCCTTCCCAGAGAAAAGCGGCCTGGGAGGCCGGCCTGAGTGCGCGGCCCGCGGACCTGGACGGCGACGCCATCGCACCCACTCCGCAGAGCCCCGAGCGCCCGCGACACGCACACTCGGGGCCTCGGACGCACCGGGGCGCCTCCGGGTGAAGGCCGCGCCCGCAGCCTCGGCAACCCCGCCCGACGGCAGCTCCGCTGGCTCGCAGAGGCGCGACCCCGAAGGCGGCGAGGAGGGGCGGCGCGGGGTCCGAGGCAGCGGGGGACGGGCACAGCTGTGGAGGGAAGCGCGGTTAGGACCACGGACGGCCTCTGCCTGGGATCGCGAACGCACTTTGAAAACAGTAGCGACAGGTCCACGACACTGGCAGCGTGCTCGATGGCAGGATCGTACACTTAAATGATGAAGTCTACAGCTCACACATTTATAACTAGGGATCTGACACAGGGTCTGGCAGGTCTTCACGTTCAGGCAGGCCTGAACTCACTATGCAGCGCAGGCTGCCCATGGAGTTGTGGGACTCCTCCTGCTTCAGCCTCCGGAATGCTGGGATTACAGGTGTGCGCCACCATCCCCGGCGCAACTATTTTAAAATAATGCAGAATGGGCTGAGGATTTAGCTCCGGGGCGCCGCTCCTGTCTCGCAAGCGCAAGCTCCTGAGTGCGATCCCGGGACCAAAACAAAACAAAATAAAGTAAAATGTACATAGTCATTTAATTACACTTTAAGCGGACGAACTGTGTAGCGTGGGGATCGCATCTCGGTTACACTGGTTTTCGGACAGTAAGAAAGAAACTACGCATGTGTTTTACAAGGGTTCGTATTATGCGTCTAACAGAAAACGTGCGCGAGCAGAGCACTTCCCGCCCGGTGCCCATAGGCAGCTGCGGAGCTCGAGGGACCCAGGGGGCCGGGCCCGACCGCCTCCCTCCCGGGCCGCCGCGACCCGCGACCTGTCACGGCCCCGCTCCGAGGCGGGCGGGCGAGGCGCGGTCGGCCTGTCCTGGGCTGGCTGTCTGTGCGGGCCTCGCGTTTCCCGCCCGCGTCCTCGCCTCCGCGAGCCGCCTGGGCCCGAGCGCCGCTCAGGGCTGCTCCTTCCGTGCGCCCGTGGCTCCAGCCCGCACCGGGAGACCGGAAGGACAGCTTAGTTCCTCCAGCGCGCCCGCCCGCGCACCTTCGGCGGCAGGCAGAGAGCGGCAGTTGAGGAGCTCCAAGCTGGCGGGAAACAGCCCAGGGCCCAAGCTGCGTCCTGTGCGCATGCGCGCCGCGCCCACCGTGTTCCCCTCATTAGTCCTTGGCCGGAAGCACTGCGTAGATGCCCCGTTAGCGCAGTAGGTAGCGCGTCAGTCTCATAATCTGAAGGTCGTGAGTTCGAGCCTCACACGGGGCACGACACTTTTGTTCGTTCTCGGCCTTTATTTTATTTTACTCTTGTGAAAAATGAGCTTATTTTGCTGGTCCAAGTTTGGGTTGATGACGGAGGAGCCGCGGGAGAAAGACGTGCCCGCCTGCGCCCAGGGGTCACGGCGAGCGCGGCGCGGGGCCGCTCGGGAGGCAGCACGGGCCGGGCCGGGCCTGGAGCAGCACCCGGGCCCTGCTCCCCCGCCGTCCGTGGGGTGGCGGCGGCCGCGCTGCGGCAGGGACCCCGGGCTCTGCAGGCCGGATCTCCACCTGGGCGCTCAGGGCCACCTGCCCGGGGTGCCCAGGGCTCTCGGCACGGACTTGCTCTGGGTGGCCACCGTGTGGGCGGACCCGAGCCCAGGGGAGGCAGGACCGCGGGCGGGCGGCTCCCCGGGGCGTCCTGCTCCTTGTCCCTGGCTCCCTGGGTCTTCAGCGACTCCGGGCTGCCCTCGACTGACGCCGGGACGAGGCGTTGCGTTCAGAAGGGCAGTAGTGCACCCACCAACACTCGCAAGTTGTGCTGCGGCTCGGTGCCGCTCTGCGCCAGTGCTGCCTCGCACCCTTCAGGGCGAAGCCCTGGGTTCCGTCCCCAGCACAGGGAAGCAAAGAAAGCTAAGAGCAGGTTTCATCAACTGGTCATCAACTGCCGCAACGGCCAGCACGCAGGCGCTGTGGAGAGAGGTCTTCAGCAGATGAGCCACGTCGGGGCACGCGTCCCGGAGGAAGGCCTTAACGATGGAATAAAATGAGAAGTCCTCCCCCCAAGTTAGACTCCTGCTCAGGTCACACTAGATGAAACGCTTCTCCCACGGTCAAATGTGAGGTTAGCCGAAGCCCAGCATCTAGCCAGCATCTTGCAGCCCACTCACGGGGCACCGGAGCTTTCTAAATGTGGCCTGCGTACAGGGAATTCTAGCCAAGCTCATGACTGCACATTTTGAACAAATGGGTGAGATGGGAACGAAACGTCACAAAGCAGGAAGAGGCAAGCAGACGTGCTCCACGCAGCTCATCAAACGTGATGCCTGATGAAATTCCACCGAGTCGGCGACTACCTGGATGACTTAGTGGGAGAAACGTAGGCTGAGCACTGGAAGCGCTTCACTTGGCTGAGTGTTCATGACACTTTCGCTGGAAGGACAGACACTTCTCGTAAGGAACTATTATACTGTACGCAAAAGGAGTGTGTGCTGGTGAGAAAGCAAGCGGAGTAGGTGTAAATTCTCGTGAAGAACCTAAACGAGGTAGAGTTAGCAATATAGTGATTTTCAAGGAGGATCACAGGATTAGAGTTGGAGCGCTTCTGGGGGCCCCGCAGAGGAGCCCTCTCTGGAGCACACACAGCCACGGGACGGGGACGCCGCATCAGCACCAAGGCCGCGGGACTGGAGCGCCTGGTTCACCACAGGACAGCATGCACACCCCCGAGCCCCGGCCGGCCGAGAGGGGCGTGCACAGGCAACCCGAGGGACCACACAGCCGCTCACGGCGTCCACCCCTTGGAAAGCGGAAGGCGAGGCTCCGGCTACGCCGCTCTGCTGGGCTGAGGGAGAAGCTGAGCGGGCAGAGCTGGAGCAGCTGGGCCCGGCCGCGCTCAGGGCAGGGCTGCTGCAGTGGCTGCTGAGTCCCCAGTCCTGCTGCACAGCTGCTGAGATTTCCTGCCCTTTATTTCTCCATTGACCTTTAAAATCAACTTTTATCTACCGGAGGTACTGAGGCTTATGCTGGTCTTTGCAACTTGAGAGCCAATCACAGCTTTAAGTTTCCAAAAAACTTTTATTGTGAACCATTCAAGCTACTTGCAAGCTAAAATGTGTAAGAATAGAACACGTAATTTTGTGGAAATGTTTTCCTATACAAAAGGCTGTCTTCACAGGGGTGTACATAAAAATCGGAGTCACTGATTGCAGACAGGCACGCCCTGTCTCTCTGAGTCCCCCACGGGGACGCGCCTTCTACGCAGCCAGCAGTCTGGGGGCCTGGCACCTTTCACGCGCCTGAGCGGTGAGTCTCTGGCGAAGGTTTCTCACCTTCTGGATGAGATCCGGTTCCCTGCTGTCCCATTCTGTTTTTCGACTTAAAGAAACTTGAAAACACAACTTAAAATTAGCAGTAGTTCAATTTTTTTATGTTAGCAGTGCTGTGGCATTTAGTTTGAAGGCAAATGTGCTACAAAAATCAATAATGAAATGAATATTCTGAAAACCAAATTTCTTGAACAAAGCGCCTAACACATGGTGTGGTCCCACGTAATTCTACTCATGCCAGATCTTTACTTGTACTGAATGGATGCTGGCAGAGAACTGCTTTTGGCTATTCAGCATTGCTGAGTGGGAATTTGAGTTCTTCAAAACAGTAAGCCTCTTTACTATCATGGTTAATAGTAATGTTGCAAAATTGTGACATTTGTTTCATGACTACTTTCCTATGAAGAAAAATAAAAATGCTCTGAACAGACAGTCCAGAATCACGATTAAAATAGTACAGTCCTGCCTCCCTCACAAGCACAGTATCCAGAGTTCTATCCCTGGTACCAAAAAAAAAAAAAAGTACAATCTGTTCAAGTGTAACAGCCATTTCAGATTAACAGGCTAGTAAATACTGGAATTAAAAAACAAAACTTAAAAAAATATACTTCCTGAAATTTAGTTACATTTATTCCACTTCAATTTCTGAAAAACTGTTTTTTTTCCTAAAGGAATGCAACATTTATGCTCTCTTGTTTTGGTGCCAAAAGACATAAACTTGGCCAATTCTCCCACTCCATTTTCAAATTTAGAATTATCCAGTTAAAAGTTTAAATTCTGGTGGGGTGGGGATTTAGCTCAGTGCCACTGAGCCTGCCTTGCAAGCACAAGGTCCTGAGTTCAATCCCCAGCACGGCAAAAAAAAAAAAAAAAAGTTTAAATTCTGGTTGGCACAATAGGCTGGCCAATAGTCCTAGTTACTCGGGAGGCTGAAGCAGGAAGACTACTTGATTCAGGAGTTTGAGGCCAGCCCAGGAAACCTTGAGAACTCCCAAAAGAAAAACAGAGTGTATGTTCTGATGCATCAGAATAGAGGACAACTGAGAAAGCTCTTGTGTATCACTTAATTCACGAATGAATTTTAGTTAATTCATATTCTGGTGCAGAATTCACAGGTGCACATAAAAGTACGAGTTCATTTACACAATCCTGGAATCTCATGACTTGTGTTAAAGTAATCCTATTTTTTTTTTTTTTTTTTTTTTTTTGGTACTGGGGATTGAACTCGGGACCTTCTGATTTCAAGGCAGGTGGTGGCACCTCTGAGCTAAATCCCGGGCCTAAAGTAATCCTTACACCGCTTGTCTTTTCAGACCTTTTATAAAAGCTTGTTCTTTTAAAACAATTCAAAGACCTTATTAAATTCTGCCTCATCTACATGGCAGCTTTACTGAAAAATTGAGTTGAAAGAAAGTCTGACAGAGTTTCTTGTCCTCTCCCCTTATTTATTATAAATAAAACTCTACCAGGAAATGTGTTCGCTTCTTTTGTGCTCCAACTGTGACTACATTTCTGTACGATGTTCGCTCCCGCTCCCCGTTCAAGATAAACAACCCCCAGGCCCAGGCCCAGCCCAGGCAGCCGGCCTCCGCATCTGGCTGACACACCTCCCTCCAGGGGTTGCTGGAAGGAGCCCAGGCCAGAGGAGTCAAGAAACCCACAACTGCGACACCTCTGACAAACAGCCCTGAGCTTCTCTCTGCAGGGGTGGGAAACAGTTGTGCATCTCAGGTTGTTACTGAGTCCCCGAAAGCTTTCGGAGGGCCCCAACTCTGGGCCAGTGCTGGTCTGCAGAGGAGCGAGGAGCGCAGGGCCTTTCTGGGCGGGTCTGCAGCGCTCCCCACCCTCAAGAAATCTCAGAGGCTCTCGCTGCCGCCAGCAGGTTTCCCACTACAGTGTCAGCTTCCGGGAACACAGCACCACTACGCTCCGCTCTCATTCCAGCCACAACTGTACTTACCAACTGAGAAAGCAAGGAGAGAGAAGAAAGCTTTCTTGCTGAGCGACTTACCCTGTGCAGAGGGGGCCAGTTCAGACATGCCACTGAACTGTGAGGTTCTGGGGAGACAGCTAGAGGCAGCCTGTTCACTTCGCAGCCGGTGTGCTTCTGCTACAGAAGTGAGAAGACAGCCTTTATTAATGCCAAGTGGCCCCTGGAGAGAAAAAGTCCCCAAGAATGGTTAAAACCCCTTTCTCTTCTCTTCTGAGAGGAATGCTGCTGTCATTCAGAAGGTGGAAAGTGTAGTAAGGATTAAAAGCCAAGCTGATGGGCTGGGGATTTAGCTCAGTGGTTCCACCACCTTGCCTCGAAAATGCAAAGTCCTGAGTTCGATCCCCAGTATCAAAAAAAAAAAAAAAAGCCAAGCTGAAGTTTTGGTAATGTCTTTTAAAACAAAACAAAACAGCTAGAACAAAAAAGCCATCTAACAGCTGAGGGGATTCCACTGTATTTTTGTTTATCATTCCACATCTAAGGCTATTTGGGCAGTTTCTACTTTTTGGCTGTTGCGGATAACGATGCCATGTACGTTCATGTGTGACTGTCACACGTTCAGTTCCCATGGCTACAGCCACCAAGGAGCTGGACTGCTGGGCTACTGGTCACCTTGACCGTAATCTTCTGAGGAACTGCCCCGCCGTTCCTCAGAACTACCCCCTGAAGTGGCGCCCCCCGAAATTCCAGTCTCTTTGATCCTTAACAAGGTTTCTGTTTATCTGTTTGACGATAGCTAACCTAGTGGGCGTGAAGTGTTACCCTGGAGTGACTTAGTTTTCTTCCTCTGGAACTGTGGCATTTGGATTTCCCTTCCCCTAAGGACTAAAGAAGTTCAACATTTTTTCCTGTGCACACCTACCATTGTATATTTTCTCTGGAGGAAAGTCTATTCAAATCCTTTCCCTATCTTAAAACTTGGGCCAAAATCATTTTATGTCTTCACATATATTCAGCTACAATTTAAGTCTCTGGACCTGAGATTTTAGGGGTGGCAAAGCAAGAACCAGAAATGTTCTGTTTTCTGGGAGATAATAAAAACTTCTTGCCCTTGCTGGTAAAGATTTGATACTAGGCAGGCCTTTTAAATAGCTGATCTATCACTGGCACCTAACCCTATACGTAGATAAATTTTTTTGGTACCGGGGATCAAACTTGGGTCCTTGCATTTGTGTAGCAGACAGTGAAACCACTGAGCTAAATCCTCGGCCTACATAGATAAATTTTATGGCATGTGAATTATGTTCCAGTGATTATTTAAAAAGTAATGCATATACATTATAAAAGGCTGAAACAATACAGAATATAGAAAAAGTCCACACTCCTGTACTCTATATTTCAGGATTTCAAATTACAGTTTTGATCTTTCAGTTGATATATATATTTTTTTTGGTACTGGGGATTGAGCTCGGGTCCTTGCGCTTGCGCAGCAGGCAGCGAAACCACTGAGCTAAATCCCCAGCCCCAGTTGATACTTTCATGAGCCTTCTATCAAAACCTAATGTTTGATTAGCTCTTTTAGGAAGACTCCTGTGGTACCTTAATACATTAGCTTGGAGGACCAGCTACTGAAAAAGTATGCTTTTACGAAAGTAAACTGGAAATAGGACTTTGGGAACAAATCCCATTCTAGAAGATTAAGGTGATGCCAAGGACCATGGATCTGTGAGTACAACAGTTCCACAAGGTGGGTGAGACTTTTCTTGATTGGAGCTCTGTTTTTCTTTTTTTTTGCAAAACATTTCAGTGGTACATTTTAAGATATAGTGATCACATTCATCATCATGAATTTGTACCTGTACAAGATAATATTTTTTTCTCACTCCCCGCTTCGACCTCTCTTCTTCTCATTTACAAAAGCTTTGTTTCAGGCCAGGGATTTAGCTCAGTGGTTTCGTCACCTGCTGCAGAAGCGCAAGGACCCGAGTTCGATCCCCGGTACCAAAAAACAACAAAAGTTTTGTTTCTATTTTTTCCTTCTATTCTTTTTACCTTGTCCCTTCTTTCCTTCCTCCCCCCTCCATTGTTCCCCTTCTCATTTGAACATTTTCTTCCCATTTCTCAATATCTATTATACATTTTGGTCCTTATTTTCATTTTCAGATTCTCACACCAGAGAAACAATGCAGTATTTAAATGTGTGTGTCTGATTTATTTTGCTTAAGACCGTGATCTCGAGCTGCATCCATTTACCTAGAAATATCTCAAGCTTATTCTTTATGGCAGAGTAGCACCCCATTGTATAAAAACCCCACATCTTTTGATGGGCATTTGGGCTGTTTCCAAGATTTAGCTACTACAAACTGTGCTGCTATAAACATGGTTGTGGATATCACTGTGGTATGATGCTTTTACTTCTTTCGGGAAGAAACTAAGGAGGGAATAGCTGGGTCAAATGGAGCCACGAGTTTTAGTTTTCTGAGGAATCTCCACACTGATTTCCACAGTGGTTGCGTCAGTCTGCACTCCACCAACAGTGGAGAAGGGTTCCTCTTTCCCACAGCCCTGCCAGCATTTGTTATTGGTTGATTTTGTGATAATAGGCATTCTTTCTGGAATGAGGTGGAATCTCAGCATTGTTTTAATCTGCATCTTTTTTTTTTTTCGGTGCTGGGGATAAAACTTGGGACCTTGCTCTTGTGAGGCAGGCAGTGGAACCACTGAGCTAAATCCCCAGCCTAATTTGCATCTCTTGAATGACCAGTGATGTTGAACATTTTTTCATGTACTTATTTGCTGTTTATACTTCATCTGAGAAGTGTGTATTCATTTCTGATGCCCATTTTTGGCTTGGGTCTTTAAATTTGAGGGGTCTGATTTTTCTGAGTTCTTTATAGATTCTAGATAGTAGTCCTTTGTCAGAGGAACAGCTGGCAAATTTTTTCTCCATACTGTGGGTTGCCTCTTCACACTGTAGGTGATTTCTCTTGCTGTGCTGAAGCTTTTTGGTACGATGAGATCCCAGTGTTGATTCTTTATGATAGTTCTGTGGGATCAGGGTTTTGTTCATAAAGTCTTCACCTACATGAATGTCTTCGAGAGTTCTACCTATTCTATCCTCCAGCAGATTTAGTGTTTCTGTTTTAATATTTAGGTCTTTGATCCATTTCGATTTTAGTTTAGTGCAGGTGAAAGATATGGATCTAGTTTTAATCTTCAGCAAGTGGAAACTCAGTTTTTCCAGGTCCATTTATTAAAGAGGCTATTTTTCTTCCAGTGTAGGTGTTTGGTCCCTTTGTCAAAGAAAAGGTGGCTGAGTGTGTATGAAGTTGTTTCTGCTTCTTCTAGTATGTTCCATTTATCCTCAGGTCTGTTTTGTTTTTTTTTTTTTTTTTGGTCAGTACCATGCTGTTTTTAATCACAGTAGCTTTGTAGTATAATTTCAAGTTGGGGATTATGACGTCCCTTGCCTTGTCTTTGTTGCTCAGAATTGTCTTTGCTATTCTAGGCCGCTTCTGGTTCCAAATGAATTTTAGGATTGTTTTCTCTAATTCTGTGAGATATGCTATTGGAATTTTGATTGGGATTGCATTAGAGATGTATAATAATTTTGGAAGTACGGCCATTTTCGCTATATTGATTCTTCTTATTCAAGAACAAGGTATAGCTTTACATTTTCTGACATCCTCTTTGATATCCTTTCAGAGTACTGTAGTTTGCAATGTAAAGGTCTTTCACTTACTTTGTTAGACTGATTCCCAGGTGTTTTGTGTTTTTTTGGATGCTATTGTGAAAGGTGTTGTTTCCCTAATTTCTCTCTCAGAAGGTTTGTTATTCATGTATAGGAAGGCTGTTGATTTTTGAGTGTTGACTTTGTATCCAGCTATACTATTCAATTTGGTAAGTCTAGAAGTCTTCTGGTGGAATTTTGGGGGTCTTCTATGTAGACTATGATGTCACCTACAAATAATGAAAATTTAACTTCCCCCTTTCCTATCTTTATTAGTTTCATTTCTTTGTCTAATTGCTGCAGCTGTTTTCAGAACTATATTGAATAAGAGTGGTAATAGTGGACATATTGTCTTGTTCCTGATTTTAGAGTGAAAGCTTTCAGCTTTTCTCTGTTTAGTATGATGTTGGCTGTTGGTTTGTCATAGGTGGTTTTTATCAGATTGAGATAAAGACCATCTGTTCCAATTTTCTGTAGGTTTTTTTTGTTTTGATCATGAATGGGTGTTGGACTTTGCCAAACATTTTTTCTGCATCTACTGAGATGATTACATGGTTTTTGTCCCTGGCTCTGTTGATATGGTGCATTGTATATATTGATTTGCATTGTTCAGGAATCGTGGAAAGAAATGTATGGAGACAGAGAAGTTGGGTAAAAAAACAAAGCCTTTACTCGCCAGCAAGGGGGACCACCAGAAACTCGTCTGATCGATGTCCGCGCCGTCCTTTGTTTTAACATTTCCTTTTATATCTTCTTTTAGCCATTACCTCATTCCTGGTGGTCTTAGTCAGTAAAATTTCTGTTTCTCTTTTACAACTAGTTCCTGTTAATGGTTATAGTCACAGACATAACAAACAGATGGCGCCTAAAACACATAAATAGTAAACTACCCAAACATTTCTACTTTGCTTTTCTCCAGGTTAAATGTTATCTACAGTTAGGTTACAGGTCAAAGGTTCAGTTAGCCATCACCTTAAACAGTAAGAGTTAAGGGAAAGGTAAATCTTAAAGGAATGCATTACTTATTCTACTTCAGCTACCTTAATAACTAACCTATAGTTTAAATTTGCTCTATCAGCATATGTTCAACCATCCCTGTATCCCTGGGATGAATCCCACTTGGTCAGGGTGTATGACCTTCTTGATGATTTGCTGCATTCTTGTCAGTATCTTATTGAGGATTTTTGCATCTATGCTCATTAGGGAGATTGGCCTGTAGTTCTCTTTTTTGGATGGATCCTTCTCTTTGTTTTGGTATCAGGGTAATACTTGCTTTCAGGAATGAATGTGGGAGTATTGCTTCCCTTTCAATTTCATTAAAGAGTTTGAGAACTACTGGCATTAGGTCTTCTCTAAATTTCTTCATACCTGGGCTTTTTCTTTGTTGGTTGGTTTTTAATTACATCTTCAATTTCATAGGCTGATATTGGTTTATTTAGAATTTTTATGTCTTCTTTGTTTTGTTTTTTGAGACAGGGTCTCACTATGCAGTCCAGGGTGGCCTTGAACTCACAGTGATCCTCCTGCCTCAGCCTTTCAAGTGCTAGGATTACAGGCATGTACCACACCTGGCAGTTTTTATATTTTGATTCAGCTTTGGTAATTCGTATGTGTCTAGGAATCTGTCCATTTCTTCTGTGTTTTCCATCTTATTAGAATACAGGTTCTAGAAGTAGGTATTGATGATCTTCTGGATTTCTGCAGCATCTCTTGTGATTTCACCCTTTTCATTCCTAATTGCATGGATTTGAGTCTTTCCTTTTTTTGAGTAGGTTGGCTAAAGGTTTGTCAATCTTATTTAATCTTTCAAAGGACCAACTCTTTGATTCACTGACTCTTTGTATTGTTTTCTTATTCTCCACTGCATTAATTTCTGCTCTTAGTTTTGTAATTTCCTCCCTCATGAGCTTTGGGCTTGAGTTGGTCTTTTTCTAGAAGCTTGAGATTCAACATTAGGTTGTTTATTTGAGCTCATTCTACTTTCCTGATATGGGTATTCACCAGTATAAATTTCCTTTGTAGGACTGCTTTCATTGTGTCCTATAAGTTCTGGTATGCTGTGTTAGCATTATTGTTTAATTGTAGAAACTGTCTCATTTACTGTTTAATTTCATCTGAGACCCATTGGTTGTTTAAAAGGGGATTATTTAATTTCCATGAGTTTATGAAGTTCTTGTGGTTTCTTTTGCCATTGACTTCCAACTTCACTGCACTGTGGTCTGATAATATGCATGGGATAATTTCAAATCTTTTGCATTTACTTAAGCATATTCTATGAGCTAGTATGTGGTCTATTTTAGAGAGTATCCCATGTGCAGCTGAGAATGTGTATTCTGATGTGGGGTGGAACATTCTGTAGACATCTACTAAATCCATTTGTTCAAAAATTTGGTTTCAGTTCTAATATTTCATTGTTGATTTCTTGTCTAGTTGATCTGTGTATTTTTGACAGTGGGGTACTGAGGTCCCCCCTTTACTACTGTATTAGTGCTTATTTGATTTTTCATGTCTGTTAATGTTAATATTTGTTTATTATAGTTGGATGCACTGTTATTTAGTGCACATATATTTATGACTGTTATCTCCTCCTCTTGGATTGTTCCCTTTACAAGGATGTAGTGACCTTCTTTGTCTTAGTCTTGGTTTGAAGTTCACTTTGCAAATAGAATAGCTATCCCTGCTTTTTTCTGGATTCCCATCTCACGGAGTATTGTTTTCCATCCTTTGACTTTCAGTGTATGAATTTATTTGTGAATTAAATGTGTTTCTTATGTGCAGCATATTGTTGGATCTTGCTTCTTGATCCATTCTGCCAGTCTGTTTCTTTTGATTGGTGAATCGAGACTGTTAACATTGATGGTTACAACTGATATGTATTAACTTATCCTTGTCATGTTTTCTTACTGTTGGGTCCCTTTTTTCCTCCTGTTTAATTCCTTGCCTTGCCCGGTAGATTCATTCTGTTGGGGTTCATAAAGTTGCAATCCTTGTTATCTTTGTCTAGAATAGCCTTTAGAACACTCTGGAGGGCAGATATGGTGTTTATAAATTTCCTCAGGTGTTGTCATGAAAGTATCTTAATTTCTCCATCAATTTGAAAGACAGTTTTGGAGGGTACATCAATCTGGATTGGAGGTTGTTTTATTTTAGGACTTGAAATTCTTCATTCCAAGCTCTCCTTGACTTGAGGGTTTGGGTTGAGAAGTCTGCTGTGATTCTTATGGGCTTTCCTTTGTATGTGATTTGTTTCTTTTTTCTAACAGCTTTAAATATTCTTTTTGCTGGATTTCTGAAATCTTGACTATTATATGCCTTGGTATAGACTTTTTTGGACATAACTAATTGGAGTTCTATAGGCCTCACTTATCCATATGTCAAATTCTTTTGCCCTGTTTGGGAAGTATTCTGCCATTACTTCTGTGAACAGATTTTTTATGTCATTTGGGCTATTTCCTGTTTTTTCATCAACTCCAATCAATCTTTCATTTTGGTACCGGGGATTGAATCCATCAATCTTTTTTTTTGTTGTTGTTACCGGGGATTGAACTTGGGACCTTGTGCTTGCGAGGCAGGTGGCAGAACCACTGAGCTAAATCCCCAGCCCGATTCTAATCAATCTTATGTTATTCTTCTTCGCATCATGCTGCAGCTGCTGGGTTGACTTCCTGTAGTCCCTGGCCATTTTGAAGAAATCTATTTTTTCATGATCACTAACTGCAATTTGGTCTTCCATATCTGATATTCTGTCCTCACATTGGCTCATTCTTCTGTGTATACTTACAATGGAATTTTTAATCCCCTGGATATCTGTCTAAATCTGTGTCATGGATTCCATTTCTTTCCTATGCTGGGCATTTATGGTTTCCATCATTTTCCTAAGCTCCTCTATTTTACTTTATTTTTTCATCTGTATCTGCTCTAGAGTCACTAAGCATGTCTTTCATCCTGGTCACCATCTCTGAGTTATCTGAGAAATTATTTCCGGTTTGATTTTTTCTAGAGCCTTGTTCATATGCTTTGTTACTTCCACTGTTATCGCTTCAGAGAGTCTGGGCTTTGGAATTATTCCACCTCACTGACCCCAGGGTTTGCTTTGGGTGAGCTGCATCTTGTTTAAGTGTCTTCTCATTTGCTTTTTGTTGTTATTTAATTTCAGGATTGGTGCTTGTAAATTGCTAATGGGGAGTAGCTTTATTGCTAGCATTTGAACCTTTAGGAAATGATTACTTCTCAGAGGTGTCTTCCAGGTGGAAGCTGGCTTTGGGTTTTGAGACTGTTGCAAGATGGTACCTGTTTAATTTATTGAGGATGAGAAGTTGGTACCTACTTGGCCCAGGTCCTGGTTATTTGGCTCTGGCCTATAGTATTTTGTTGTTGTTGTTTTGGTACTGGGGATCAAACTCAGGACATTGTGCTTTTGAGATAGGTGCAGTGCCACTGAGCTAAATCCCTGGCCCACCTATAGTACTTTTTAAGACACATATACCAGTCTTGGTATACCAGGAAAAACAAATTATGATTAGCATAATTATGTCACTTTGGCTAAAGTAGTACAATCAGCAATAACGACAATGATACCATCAAACACAGCCTAGAAAATGACAAACTGTAGTAACTATTAATTTGCCACTTTACTGTATGAACTAGATTTGTGATTAGATAAAATCTAAAACGAACCAGAAAATTGCATGCAGTAAGTCCTCAACACAGCAATTTTACCCTTGGGGAGAAAATTTAAAAGGGGTTAGGGGGAAAAACAGAGAAACAGAAGAGGAAGAGATGAAAAGCAAGGCTGGAGGACAAAGAAAGATTACGCAAAATTTAAGAAACTGGTGAAGAAGACAGGAGGGAAAGAGAGAAGGAAGAAATAAAAACAAGAACAGAACAGAAGAACAACAGAAAAACTAGAAACTATGTTCACACTTATATAAAAACAAGAACAATCAAGAAAAAACAAAACAAAAAGAAAAACCAGGAGAGAAAAAAGAAAATTTAAAAAAAGGCAAAAACCATGTCCACTTTAAGGCATGTTTCTGCTGTCATCTGCAGAAAACATGGGGAAAAAGAGTCCAGATCTCAGTTGATTAATCCCAGCAAGCCAGCTGTAGCTTTATGGTAGGGCAGTGGACAATCCTAGCAAGCCTACACCTCTAGTTCCACTGAAATTCATGCTGTTTTCTGGCTGTGAGGCTGAAACTGGATTTGCTGAGCCTACAACAGTCTGTGTGCCTCCTGCTGGCCTGAACTCTGCTCCCTGCTGGCTTGAACTTAGCTCCCTGACCTCCTCCCAACTTCAACTCAGCAGCCTCATCAACACTGGGAGCCACTAGATGGAGTTGGCCTGCAGCTGTTCTGAGTTCTGAGCTCAGCTGGCCCCGCTCCAAGATGGCTTCCAGCCAATTGCTCTCTCCTGGGGGATATCTGAACCTGAATAACTCAACAGCCACTGCAGTCCACTGCATCCACTGGGTCATTCCACTGGTGTTGTTTTTCTGTAGAGCCCTCTGGGTTGCCAGTAGTCACCATGTGCCTTCAGGTTCGAACCACCCTTCCCACGCAGTGAGTCTGGGCTCAGGGAGAAAGTGCCACCTGTCACCTTCTTCTTCTTTGTTCACATCTGTCTCTTCCTTCTCCCCTGGGGCTTTACTTCTCACTTCAGATCTTTCCTGGGTCCCAGGGTCCCACTTCCTTCCTTCTCTTCCTCATGTTGCTATATTCCAGTGTCTGGACACAAATCTCAGAGAGGCTCTTTCTCTGCTGTTCACCACCCCACCATCTTCCCAGAAGTCAGTCAATTTTTCTTAAACAATGCACCACCTTTGTTTGCCATTCCCACCAAAAAATAGTAACTAGTGATTACCTTTTTACTGAGCAAAATCTGGATGAAAGTGCCAAGTATACATCCACAATTTATTCATAATAGAGCATATTAGCAGAAGGAATCTATTATAGCACAGATACAGACACTTATGGACACTTACCTTGAATAAATGGATCTTCAGCATGTTCTAAAGCAGCACTCATCTCCTTCTTTAGAAACCACTTTCTAGATGCATCCGAAAGGGCAGAAGCTTTTTTTTCTGATCTCAAATGAAATTCTTTTTCTTCAGTTTCCTTCCACTACATACAAGTAAATGGGGAAAAAGATAACATAAAAACAGTGGTAACCCCACCTCCGACAGCAGAACAAGCCCTTTTGCTTCCTCTGCTCCTCTTTCTTCTCTGGTCTCAAGAGGCACACAATCTGGTATATGGGGCATGGGCTGCCTGTGGTGGCCCACAACTATGGAAGAGCTTGAGAGCAGAGGTGAGTTTGATACATCACGTGGTACCTCTCTCAGTGCAAACAGCTAGGTCCCAACTATTGCTGAGATAACAATTCATTTCCATAAGTTTCAAATTTTAAACTAAACTAGTTTTGTGTTAATGGCAATGAGTTTTTATTTAATTAGAATGCTTAGTAATAAGGTCAACAAAATTCAGAGAATTAATTCTTAGCCCAGCCTGGACCACACCTTGACCACAGGGAAGTCAAGTAATCTCTACTAGTCCCTGCTTTCTTCCTAATAAATCGAGAAGATAATCATCTTCAAATTACCTCAGAGGACAACTAAAATAATAGGTTAAAAATGTTAGATTCCATTTCAAAGGCTTGCCAAGTTCTAGAAAAGCTACATCTTTTCCATGGAAGCATACATATGATTTTTTTTTTGTTGGGGGGTGGTGGTTTGGTACCGGGATTGAACTCGGGTCCTTGCACTTGTGCAGCAGGCAGTGAAACCACTGAGCTAAATCCCTGGCCCATACATATAATTTTTATAAATAGAGTATCAATTCATTAAGTAACAAAAACTCTAAATCTTAAGTTTAAAGAATCATATAAGTAGGAAGGAACACAGAGATCATCTCTTTCACATTACTGATGAGGGGACTGAATCTGAGTGCATTCCCAAAGCCACACAATAATCAGGTTAGCTTTAGGACTCAGAACCCTAGACCTAAAGAAGGATTTATGCAGAAAAAGCCCTTTCAATGATTCTCAGGCTGCTCTCAGCTGTGTATTTTACCTCAGGTACAGCAGCACTACATTTTACACAGTTCAGCCCTACAGTCAGCCATCCTTACCTGCAAGAGGGGCCTTTATGAGCCCCTGAGGTTAACAGCCTCTATGTTTTATCCTCTCCCCAACTCGTCCCTTCCTGTCCTATAAGATAGGGCCCCATACCACCGGGACAGGTAGGTGTAAAAGGAATCTGAGGTAGTGACTTCACAGAAATATACTGTGAGAAGAAGCTAGCTTGCAGAGTAGACATTATAAGACAGCAACGGGAAGAGGAAGGAACTAAAGCCAGTTATCTAGAGCTTGATCTGCCCAGCTTTACATGTTGGATCAGCCAAAAGATACATATGTGCAACATATACTTTTAGTTGCCTTTTCAAAATCCATTTTTAGTCTTCTTTAGGAACAGAATATTAATTTTATTTGGGTCATAATAATCCTTGCTAAAATTTACCACATTTCTCAGCATCCTTTGCAGCTAGGAATAAAATATGAGACGCTGGGAAGGAGCTAAATATGAGTTGCCTCAGATGGCAAGTAGAACATTTTTGTACTTCTGCTCTATCTTTATCTGGCTGTCTGAAATATCTTCCTCCTGGCTGGAACTCTAGTAGTCATCTTGAATGATAAGGTATTGTTGAGAATGAAAGCCAGGCCAGGCGTGGTACTGCATGCCTGTAATCTCAGCACTTGAGAGGCTGAGGCAGGAGGATCACTACAAATTGGAGGCCAGCATGGACTATATAGTTCAAGGCCAGCCTGAACTACACAGTGAGACCATGTCTTAAAGGAAAAAAAACCAACCCCCCCCCCCCATGAAAGGCATACACCAGGAAACAGTACAGAAAGGCCGAACCAGCCTGGTGACCTTGAGGCCATGGTATTAGCCCTGAACTGCCTATACTTAGATTTTTTCTTATAAAAAAGAAAAACATTTTTCTTCAGTTTATAGTCATTTTTATTTTGGGTTTTGTTATTAGCAGATATCAGCAATTTCTGCCTGTTCAAAAATTTGTTTTGTTTTTGAGACAGGGTCTCATTGTGTAGTTCAGGGTACCCCTGAACTCACTATGTAGCCCAGGCTGGCCTCAAACTCCCAGAGATCCTCCTGCCTTAGCCTCCCAAGTGCTGGGATTACAGGTGTGCACCACCATGCCCAGTCAAAAATTTTTACATTGTAAGTATAAAGAATTAGAAAAATTAAACGAGTAATATTATCCAATCAGCCAGAACAAATCCAGGAGCTGATAAGTTGAGGCATACTAATATAAATAAGAAAGATGCTTAATCAACTTTAGATAGCATCAATATTGGGTGAATTCTGAGAAACATCTACTAAAATTACTTTTCTTTTAAAAACAAAAATGGTGCTTTTATCATTTGATTACATAGTATTTCAAAATTTAAACGCTCACTATATAATAAAAAGTTTACATAACATTACTCGTACCTTCTTAGCTTCCTCCTCCATCATTGCATTTAATACCTCTGTTTCTTTCTTTCTGTTTTTCTGAAGGAGTGCTGCTACTTCCTGGTAACCTGCACTTCGATGGAGATCATCACAGTGTTGTTTATGTAAAGTTTGAATTTTCCAGTCAGTATTTAGGGATGCTTGTTCAGCTTTTGCCAAACTGTCTTCAATTATCTAAGCAAAAGTTATAAATTTCAGAGATAAAGCCAGACATGTAAAATTGTGGTACCATATGTCCATTCCTAGGACAGGTACCTATAACCCTGGCTGCATGTTGCAATTAGCTAGGAGAGTTTCAAGCACACTGCCTTTCAGGCTCCCCCCCAAAGCACATAAACCAATCTCTGGAGTGGCTGAGTGCGGTACTTTAAAAAGCTCTTGAAGTGATTCTTACATTCAGCCAATATTTCCATGCTACTAAGTGACTGAGATTCAACAACTTTTGTTTTCAACACTTTGAAATAGGGTCAGAAGGGCCCACTTTTAAAGACTGGGTAAAAGCCTAGAAGAAAAGAAATGGTGAGATATTTAGGAGAACCAGCGAAGGGGTGGTTGCAGAGTAGGTCTCTTTCTTACACTATTTCTGGTTGTTGGACTACGGCCAGACTGGGACACATATACATTTACTATTTTGTTAAAGAGATAACAGAAAAAGGTCTTTAATCAGTGTCTGAAGTTCTATTTCAATACATTTAAGGCAGCACTGCCAAAAGGGTACTCTGTAAGTTCTTTTTATTTTATTTTTTGTAAGTTCATAGAATACATATAGAAAATTTTCTTGAAGATTCATAATAAACAGTAGCCTTAACTTTGGCATAAACACCCAGATGGCATTTCCAATACTTATCTATCACCCACTTTACTGAATGACAGTTATTAGTATTCTACAGAATATACTGTGGAAGTTTACCTGGAGGGACCTGTTATTCTGTAACCGTATCCACTTGAGGACAGTATCTGAGATGGAACACACTAGGACAGTACGGTAAATTTGTAAAGTGATTATTTCCTTTGCATTTGTTAATGTCTTAAAGAGTCTTAAAGGGTATGAAGGATACATGCATATGATTATCAGTGAAATAAGCATCGGGTAAATAAAGCAACGTGAGATTCTAGGAACTGTGACAGATGAAGCCAAGAAATGAACTATGCATATCAACTGCATAAAATTTTACTTTAAATTTGTTCTCTTAAACTTTATCATATTTTACCTTCTGAGTCTTTCTGCTCTGAGTTTGGTCAGTTTCTATCAGCTTATGAAACATGTGATCTTCAAGATCCACTTTTTGTCTATAGGCATCTGCATCTTCTTGAATTTCTTTTACAACAGCTTCTTGATTTTTAGTAAGATTCTGTTAAGAAAAATCATGGATCTAGAGAGTAATGCTAGGTCACAAAATGGCTTTTCTTTTTTCAGAATATTAATATGCACACAAAACATCTGTAACCATCCAATTTTCAAATATCAGTAAAAATGACACAGTAAGGACTGTTAGAAATTCTCTCCTCCATAAAAGCATAAAACATTGGCAAAACCTAGAGTATCAACTTCTTTGCAATTCTGGAAATTTATCTGAATGCTCTGACAGTCTGGAGAGCATTTGTTTGTTAGAATGGCTGAATCTCAGGATGAATAGGAAGCTCTGCGATTCCAAACTTGCATTATACCAAGCCCTAGTCTACCCAAGGTCTGCACTGACCTTAGAAACCAGCTGCCTGGAGGCGCTGAAGAGGTCAACGTGAGGCTGGAGCTCCTGTAACCACCCCAGGGAACCATCACGACCTCTGGTCCTGGGCACTACTCAGCTGGTGTTCCCTGGATGGCCCTTCTCCCCACGGTCTTGGTGTGTAACCTCACCCCAAATTCACCTTGTGTGCATAGGTCTTCCCTCAGGACACTTACAGAAAACAACCAGAGGAAACTGTTGAACATCTTGGCTGGCTGAGTGGGTCACGGTCAGAGCAAACAACAGGGTAATCAAAAACGTAAACACAAAAAATGGAGACGTAACTGTTGCAGCAGGCTTTGAGAACTCTGCTACATTCCTAGATGGTAGGAGGCGATGTGCTGTGCTAAGGCAGGGCATGATCCAAAGGCTGTGCTCAAACCCAAGCACCTAAGTGGAGATCATCTAACCAGAACCACAAACTGCCTTGCCGAGTGCTGAAGGTATCTCCCAATACACACACAGGCCCACACAGAGAGCAGCAGCTTTCTGTTTCAAGTCTCTGTCCAATTACTGGCTGACACTAACCTAAATGAGTAGACTTCAGGGCCTACACATGAAATGGCAAGGCAACAAAATGTCTCCAAAAATTCCCAACTCTACCAAAGCTGATCCATGGGGCATTCAGGGGGAGGAAGTCAGAAGCCACAAAGCTCAACTGATTGAAAGGATAACATAGGATAGCAGTGGTTAATCTATGGCATGTGTGCTGCATGGACTGTTTGTATCACTGAAAGCTCTAAAAGGCTAATAATCACTGACATAGGAGATAAACAGATCAGTAAGGTGCTTGGTGGTCTCAAAGAAGATATAACTAAACAGATAATGCACCTAATAAACAGAACAATCAGCAAGTCTATGGAAGACAGAAATAAAAAGCTAGCTGAAAGCAAAAGCCCTCTACACTGAGAACTACAGCGCTCTGAAGATCGAGGAGGACTGAGAAAATGCACAGACACCCCCTGCTCCTGGGTAGGAAGGACCAATACAGTGAAAATGGCCATAGTTCCAAAACTGCTACATAGATTCAATGCCATCCTGATTGAAATCCCAGAAGCACATTTCACAGAACCAGAGAAAACAATCCAAAAATTCATCTGGAACCAGAAGAGATCTAGGATAGCAAAAGCAGTTCGAGGCAACAGAGACATGGCAGGAAGTATCACAACCTCCAACTTGAAACTATACTACAAAGCTACTGTGATAAAAACAGCATGGTACTGGCAAAGAAACAGGCCTCAGGACCAGCGGAACAGATTAGAAGATGCAGAAACAACTCCAGACACACTCAGCCACCTCATCTTCGACAAAGGAACCTAACACCCTCAATGGTGGAAAGATAGCCTCTTTAATAAATGGTATTGGAAAAACTGGATTTCAACCTGCCAAAGATTAAAACTAGACCCATATCTCTCACCATGCACTAAACTAAGACAGAAATGGATCAAAGATCTAAATATTAAAATAGAAACACTAAACTTGCTGGAAGCCAAGTTAGGTATAACTCTCAAAGACACTAGCATAGGAAAGGACTTTATGAACAAATCCTCAGTAGCATGGGAACTTGCACAAAGAATCAACAACTGGGATCTTATCTTATTAAAAGGCTTCTGCTCTGCAAGAGAAACCACCAACAAACCTAAGAGACAACCTACAATGTGGGAAAAAAATTTTACCAGCTGTTCCTCAGACAAAGGTCTACTATCTAGAATATATAAAGAAAAAAAAATCAGACCCTTCAAATATAAAGACCCTTTCAGGGCCAGGGATTTAGCTCAGTGGTTTCGCTGCCTGCTGTGCAAGCGCATGGACCCAAGTCCGATCCCTGGTACCAAAAAAAAAAAAAACTTATCATTTCTCAGACACAAAAGTAAAAACAGCAAATAAATATATGAAAAAATGTTCAACATCACTGGTCATTAGAGAGATGCAGATGAAAACAATGCTGAAATACCACCTCACCCCAGAAAGAATGGCTGCTATCATGAAATCAACCAATAACAAGTGCTGGCGGGGTTGTGGGGAGAAAGGAACCCTTCTCCACTGCTGGTGGGAGTGTAGACTGGTGCAGCCACTGTGGAAATCAGTATGGAGATTCCTCAAAGAACTAGGACTAGAGGTCCCATTTGACCCAGCTATTCCCGTGCTGGGTATCTTCCCCAAAGAATTAAAAGAATCATACCACAGTGATATATGCACACCCATGTTTATAGTGGCACAGTTTGTAATAGCTAAAATTTGGAAACAGCCTAATTGCCCATCAACTGGAGACTGGATAAAGAAGATGTGGTTTTTTAAATAAAATGGAGTACTACTCAGCCATAAAGAATGAGAAACTAGAGGGCCGGGGATTTAGCTCAGTGGATCTGCTGCCTGCCTTGCAAGCCCAAGAACCCGAGTTTGATCCCTGTACCCCACCCCCCAAAAAGAAATAAAAGAATGAGAAACTAGAGCCATGTATAGCTAAGTGGATGCACATTGAGGCCATACTCTTAAGTGAAATAAACAGGACACACATGTGTAAATATGGAACAGTTTCTCTGGTGTGAAAAACTAAAAATGTAAATAAGAATCAAAATGTATAATTGATATTTGAAATAGGAAGAAAAGGTCCAAAGGGGTAGGGGAAATGGGAGGGGAAGGAGAAAGGAAAGAAGGGAAAAGAAGAAATATGAGAAAAGGAAAAACATGGAAACAAAATCTTTGTAAATAGGGAAGGGTGGAGGGGTTGAAGGGAAGGCAGAGGAATGGGGAAAAAATAAGAACCAAGATACATCATGCAAAGGTACAAGATCTCAATGATGAATGTAACTGTATTGTATACCTAAAATGTACCAATAAACTAAATGGAAAAAAAAAGCTAGCTGAAGTAAACAAAATAATACAAAGCATGAATGCCCAGTTTAGAAAGGAATAAAAAAAAAAAAAAAAATTAGAGTCCATGAAAGGGAACCAAACAGAAAATTCAACTGAAAGTATGGATAGCAGAAGCGACTAATATGAAGACACAGTGTTAGAGGTAGAAGATAGGGCTGTTATCAGTGACCTATTATTCAGGGATACTGTAAAAACAAAAGAACATGAAAAATAGATCCAACTGCTAGATGCAAAGACTAAGATTAATTGGAATTAGTGAAAAATGAGAAGACAGTACAAATGACATAAAAAGTCCTTTTTACAAATATACTCACAGAAAACTTTTCAAATATGAAAAAAGAATTTAATATACAGATGACGGAGCCATAAAGAACTCCCAAATAGCCACGATCAGAAAAGAATGTCTCCATAACACATCACAGTCAAGATCCCAGAAGTCTAAGACAAGAAGAGAATCTTTAAAGCTGTGAGAGAAAAAGGCAAACCCATTAGAATTATACCACACTTCTCAACACAGATCTTAAAGGCCAGGAGAGCTTTAAGTGAAATGTTTCAAGTCCTAAAAGAAAACAATCAGACTGATATATCCTGCAAAACTATCTTTCAAAACTGATGGAGAAATGAGATATTTCCATAATAAAGAACACTTAAAGAAATTCATGATCACCAAATCGGCACTCCAAAACCTCAGATACCTTAGAAAGAGACAGTGAAGTGAATATTGGCAAAAGCCAAATAAAATGAATACAGCAGGTAGGGTGAGCAGTTAAACAGAAAGGAAAGAAAGGGAATCAGCAAGTTAATACATTTCATTACTATTAATGTGAATGGTCTCAATTCCCCAATCAAAGACACAGATTGGCAGAATGGATCAAGAAATAAAATCCAATGGCATACTATATACAAGAAACACATTTAACCCTAAAAGAAATTCATAGACTAAAAATCAAAGGAAGGAAAACAATATTCCATGCAAAAGGAACTTGAATATAAACAGGAGTATCGTAGCTAACTTTTTTTCAGATGAAGTGGGCAGTAAGCCAAGACTCATCAAAAGAGGCAAAGAGGGTCACTACATACTAAAGGAACAATTCAACAGGAAGAAATAACAATTATAAATAAATAGGCATTGAACAGTGGTGGACCGAACTTCATAAAACTAACACTGCTGGACATAAAGGATCAGATAAACACCAATACATACAGTGAGAGACCTCAATACCCTACTGTCACAAATAGATCAACTAGACAAAAAAATCAACAAAGAAATACCAGAGTTGAACCAAACCTTTGAAGAAAAGGAATTAATAAATAGCTACAGTGCTCTACTTAACAACAGAATACACAATCTTCTCAACAGCACATGGAACTTTCTCCAAAACAGACCACATACTAGCCAATAAAGCACGCCTAAGTAAGTACGAAAGCATGGACATTAAAGAACACACTCCTGAACAATTAGTGGGTCACAGAAGTCAAGAAGAAATAGGAAGGGGCCAGGGATTTAGCTCAGCGGCACTGTGTCTGCCTTGAAAGCACAAGGTCTTGAGTTCAATCCCCAGACCGGGGGTGGTGGTGGTGGTGGTGGTGGTGTTGGAATAGGAAGAAATAAGACAGTTCCTAGATTTAAATAATAATAATGTTAGGAGAACATAGCAGAATTTATGGGACACAATGAAAGCAGTCCCATGAGGGAAGTTGATAGCAGTGAATTCAAAAGGCAACTCAAAGACTGAAAGTTAACGGGT